TAGAAATACCTATCAGTCTAAACTCTGACAGAAGCAAAAAATAAAGAAAGCATCCAGATCAAAAACACATTATTTAAGAAGACTAATAAATGAACTTTTAGAAAAATTTTCAACAGCAACAAAAGAAGCCAGAATAGAGTGAATAATGCATTTATCTAACTAAATTATTATTAAGTTGTAAGGATTTATACACTCAGACAAACACAGGAATTTAAAATCAAAAGACCTTCCGTAAAAAAAAAAAGGTTTAAAGAATGAATTTCAAAAAGAAATTTAATTATTCCGGAAAAAAAAAAAAAAAGTCAGTGTCATAAGTTCAGTGAGAAAGGCCAGGGAAGGGCGTGGAGTGGAAAAGGTACAGTAACTAACCATTAGCTATTTGCCTGGATTTTCAGTTTTCAAAATGACAATTTCCACATAATTTAAACATGTACATAGAGAAAAAAACTCAGTGCTAGTATTTTGAAACACACATGATACTCCCAATCAAGCAAAACACAGGCAAAAAATAAAAATCATGTTTTTTGCTTGAGATTTGGACCTGCAGCTGAATAAGGGCTTTCTGGATCAGAGAGCTGACATAGTCCGATCAGTATGTTTGCCCTTCTAAGTCTTGGCTTTTGCTTCATGACTTCTCCCCTAAAAACACAAAAGCACTTCCTAAGTATCTGGATTTATCTTGGCTTAATTCATTTTCTATTACAGATAACTTATTGTATGCAGAAACTACAAAGGATTTGTGGTGTTATTGGTTCAACAGTTGTAGCCTTGAAGTCAAAAGCTTTAGGCTTAGATGTCAGGCTTACAAAAATACGTGCATATATACATAGATAACACCTTTGTTTGTGTTTCAAACTGACAAGGAAAAAAATTTACCATCAATAGTCAATATTGCCTTTTATTAAGTAATTTCAAATAGAAAATAGTAACATACTTCTTTTTTTTTTTTTTTCCTGCCTCCTCCTCTTTGTTTTTCAGGGATTGTTAAATGAACTGGGGGAAGGATGCTGAACAAATAGCAACCAAGAGTTTTTTGGGGTTTGATTGGTTTGTTTTGTTTTCAGTAAAATGATTTAATAAAACATCCTGGTAATTTTTCTGTCAAAATGACTTCCAATTGTATATAATGAAATAACATTAGGAAGAAATAAATAAATAAATAAGAGCAGGACGTGAGATTGCTATATCATAGTTTTGAACATGACTTTCATATTACTCCGCATTTTATGGGGAAAAAAAAGAGATTTTAAGCCTTTTTTTTTCTTTTTCTAGAGCATTTAAAACATTAAATAGATTTTTAGTAAGTATTTCCAATAATTGGCCTTCAATGGGTGTACATAGAGTCTATGTATCTGTTTTAATAATAGATTATTAAATAGAAATGAACAAATAACCTCGGTTTTTACATACATTAAAACTTTCTATAGAATAAATTTATGAAGTACAGCAATAGAATCCAGATTTTTTTTTTTGAGAGGTTTTTGCAATAGCGCGCATGCGCTTGCCAGAAAGACAGAGACAGAGAGACAAAAAGCTAGAAATCACCCCCCATAAGGGATGGCCACATCGCAATCCCTTCTCCTCCATTCTCCTTTCAGGATCTTGGGCACGCACACACAAGCGCCCAGTATGAGTTTAAGCCACCGGTTCCAGGACGATTACATGGTCGATTACATGGGAGTCCAGCGACATAGCCGTTATGCTAACTGCTGGTCCCAGAATACAGATCTTTTTAATAAAAGATTAAATTTTATTTTCTTGGATATCTTGGAGATCTGCATTATTTTATTTTATTTAGAGAGTTTTTTTATGTTTTGTTTTTGTTTTTTGCTAAAGGGCATGTGTGCTCACTGGAGAGACAAAGAAAGAGAGAAAGAAAGCAAGAAATCACCCCCTAGGGGTATGGCCATGCTTCAATCCCTTCTCTAGCCTCCTCTCAGGATTTTGGGTACACATGCACATGTGCCCAGCATGAGTTTTTAAGCTCCCTGAGTCCGGGAAATGACCATAGTTGACTACATGGGAGTCCAGCGACATAACCATTATGTCACCTGCTGGTCCTGGAGATCTGCATTATTAAATGAAAACAGTGCTTTTTTGTTTTCCCAGCTAGTAATATGAATTTTCTTAGATGTTCCACAACATTCTATCATTATAGAAGTACTGGAGCTAGTCTAGAGATACTGGATCTAGTCTATTCCAAAATTCCTTTGTGAATTTTTCTTTCATTCTATTTCAAGCTTTTAAGTTACATAATGAAAAAAAATTAAGGTTTTTGGAATAGGGCTCTCATACTCACCAGAGAGAGACAGAGACAATGAGAGGGAAAGTGAGAAATCACACCCCAGGTGGGTGGCCATGCCACAATCTTTTCTCTTTCACTCTCCTCCTGGGATTTTAGTCATGTATGTATGGACACCCACCTGTTATGATTTTCAATCAGCCAGGTCTGGAACTTGAACCTCTGTTGGTCATCTGGTAGTCCAGCATCTTAACCACCTGCTGGCCACAATGAAAATATTTTTAATGAGAAAACAGAAACATGTAGGATTAATGGATAGAACAATTTTGCCCCAAAAGATTAACTCACTTATTCATTCCTTATCATCATGCATACATTTAATCCCACTTTTTATTTTTCAGAGATTCATCACTGATGTGTTGCGTACAAAACTAAAAGATGTTCCCTGACTTAAGAAAACACTTTTTGTGCTCACTTCGGCAGCACGTATACCAAAATTGGAAAACACTTTTTGTCAGGTGTTTTTAATTTGTAACTAGGTAGGTCATCTCTAGTAAGTCAGTAGTTACTACAACTTTTCTTTAACGGGGAAGAGCAAGTTAAAATTGAGGATTTTCTATCAGAGTTCAGAATTCTCAGCACTAAAGGAGACTTTTGATAACCAATCACAAAAAATAAAAACATTTCACCCAAAGAAGAGTTACAAGTGTAAAATTCCACTGGTGAGGCAAGTTATGAATGGAGACTGGAGAGTTCCAAGAATTGCTAGGAAGTAGAATGACTGCACTTACGGACTGATGCTCAGGAACTTGTCCCTCTTTTGTGTCTTTATAGCTATGTTCCAGGAGTAAAGTTGAAGCTGTGAACTTTCCAAGAATAAAGCTGAAGCTGTGAACTGAGCCAACTATGAAATGTTTTGTGTATATTGACATCTCTTCTGTCTGATTGTTAAGTTTACAATAGGACTGAAGATATATTAATGCTTAGCTGATATTTATTGCATGCGTAAAAGAACAAAATGCTTGGTGAAATGTTGTGAACATTTAAAAAAAATGACTTTCAATAACAAAAAATTTTTAATCTTAATAATCCCCATTATTTTCCAAAACACTTGGTAATAATTCTTGTTTTGGTAGTAAGATTTTTAAAATATCCTCTAAGGAGTCAGCCAGAGCTGTAACTGTTAAAGCAGCTGGATCCCATAAGACCAGCCATGTAATTAGAGTCCTGGACCCAGCATTTTGAAAAACATGCTGGGTGTGGGTGCATGTCTGCCCAAAGTCCTGAAAGAAAGGAGAGACTGAGAAGAGATTGTAGCATGACTATCTTCCATGAGGCTTTGCTTTCTCTCTCTCTCTCTCTCTCTCTCTCCTCTCTCTCTCTCATTTATTTTTTTGAGATTTTGGCTTTAGGGCATGCATTCTTGCCAGAGAGAGAGAGAGACAGAGACAGAGACAGTGAGAGGAAAAGTGAGAAATCATCCCCCCAGGGGGGATAGCCATGCTGCAATCCCTTTTTCTCTGTTCTTCTCCCAGGATCTTGCCCATGTACACATGTGCCCAGAGTGATTTTCAAGGCACTGGGCCTGGGACTCAAACCACAATCATCCTGTGAGAGTCCACTAATGTAACTGCTATGCCATCTGCTAGTCCCTCAATTTCTGACTCTGTCATGCTCTCTCTGTTTCTCCACTGAGCACATGTACTCTCTAAGAAACAAAAGAAAAAAATTCTCTACACCTCTGACTTTTTATAAAGTTTCAAAATCTGATTATTTTAGTCTAACACCAATTTTTGGTCATAAGTACCAATTTATTTAAAAGTTCTGTTTGGTGTTATGACTTCATATAATATTAAAATGTTTCCAATACTTTGGAAATTTTCCAAAGTTTTCCAAAATATAATTCCTCCATTATACTAACCTTGTTTTTGTATGTCCTGCTTCAGATCAATATATTTAATATCTCTATATCATCTTCTGTTCTTTCATTAAAATGAAAAACATGACTTATGTTTATGGCAGATGGCAAATCACTTTGAGATCAAATAATATATTTAATAACAAATTAGTTAAATAGAAGTCAGCTCACATTGACTTATACAAGATATTTATTACAGCTTCATATATAACAGCAAATCTGATAACTCAAATGCCCATGTAAAGCAATAAAGTAGATCTAATAATAATAATAAGCAACAAATTATCAATACACAGAACATGCATGCAGCACAAAGGCATTATACTGAGTGAAATCAGTCGATCATGAATTACTTCATACTCTATCGAGTCTATTTTTAAGTTCTAAAAAAGGCAAAGCAGTAGGGATGACAAACCCGTAGTTACTAGGAGCTGGGGATGAGAGATGAAGAGTGAGTCTTTAAAGGAACACAGAAAGCAGATCAGATGAAACTGCTGGAACACACAGAGAAATGAAAACTCAAACTCAAACGAAGGTTGTTTCAGAGTTACCC